CCAAGTTGGTCCTTTTTGTTATGTATGGAGGTTCATTTCAGTACCTTAAGTTACTTCCAAACTAACTAACCTAAGGTTTTTTTTTTTTTTTTTGATAAAAAAATGGAGAAATTATATTAATTAAAAAAGAAGCACAGAAAAACTCCATTACAAGGCATATAGCCTAAACCATTATAGCCTGAAAATAAAATCAAAAGCATAATCTACAATACTAGTAACAGATTTAAACTATACTCATGACGAATATAGACAATTAAGTAAAGAGAGCCATCTGCAATTAGAGATTGCTATTATAATCGTTGTATGGGTTAAATAGTACTACAAAGGTAGAAAGGAAAGTCGCTTCGAGCATCAGAAGCTATTGGACGTCCTCACCTATTTAACCAACTGCTTGGGGAGAGTAAGGATTCCGGCAACAAACAGTCCCCAACCTACATGTTGCCTCCCAATCTATTTCTAAAAATAAACCAACAAAAAAAGGGGGGCAAAGAACCCCCTGGACAAGCATAGGCTTCCCAATCGCCATCGAATACCCCCAATCAAGTTTCCAACTTTGCTAAACCTCTACAATCCCATACTGTTAATATCCATTGAATACCCATTAAGGTTTTTTTATTAGAAAGTCATCTTTATTGAAAAAGTTTTTATTGAAAAATGGTTAAAAAGTATAATTCTAATGGGGTAATTTAACAGTTAAAAGTTTAAGACTCTAAACTGAAGATCTTAAGTTTGAATCTTAAATCAAATGGAGAGATATTTGAAAATAGAAGAGAACTATTTTCTTTTATATAACTCATAATTAGATGTAAACAAAATAATTAAAAGGTATTATATGAAAAATTGATAAATAAAATTTTAAAAGTTTAAATTTTAAATTTAAGGATTAAATTTATTAATAAAAATATTATTTTAAATTTAATATCTAATTTTTTAAAGATTATTTTCTCCATTTCTCGTAATATAATAAAAATATTATTTTAAATTTAATATATTATAAATATTATTTTAAATTTAATATATTATAAATATTATTTTAAATTTAATATATTATAAAAACACTTTGATAAGAGAATTTTGTTGTATAATGTAAACTATATCAAATTATATATAAAAAATTATTAGATAAAAAAATAATCTCACTATTAAAGGATTCACTTTTATTTAGTAATTTAAATTATATAATGTAAACTACAAAATAATTTTATATTTTAGTAATTTGCCTCTTTGTTTGTTTTTAATCAACTTGAGAAAAATTAATAGTTGCCCATAATAACGAGATTGGGTTTTTTCATTTTGAACGCAAATTTATTTTG